CCTGACTGTAACTGAACCCTGTCCTGTCCTGTGTTCACCTCACTGACACACTGGAGCCCACTGCTGCGGTCACTGTGTCCTGACTGTAACTGAACACTGTCCTGTCCTGACCTCACTGACACACTGGGGCCCACTGCTGCGGTCACTGCGTCCTGACAGTGTAACTGAGCCCTGTCCTGTGACGCCCTCATCAACTGTGACACACTGGTGCCCATCGCTGCGGTCACTGTGTCCTGACTGTAACTGAACCCTGTCCTGTCCTGTCCTGTCCTGTGCTCACCTCACTGACAAACACTGGAGCCCATAGCCGTCACTGTGTCTATCGGTCTCACTGAAGGTCATCCTCTTCTATGCTGACCTTTCCAAACATGCTGCTCCCTCCAGGGAATAGCCTCTCCTCGTAACATGCCCAAAGCACGTGAGACGCAGCTTGGTCTGGGGAGCTCTGGGGACCCAGTGGTAAGGAGAGGCGCTTCCCACCTAAAGGCATGTGGTTCAAATCCACCAGCTGCTCTGTGGGAAAAGATGGGTGATCTCCTGTGTGAAGAACTCCCTCTTAAAACCTGCTGTAGGGTCAGCTGCAGGACAGCTCAGAAGCAAGAGTACACAACACCCACAGCTATGTAACATGCCTTTCCCCCCTTAAATAGTCACTGCCAATTATTTTTGCTGAATTTTAAAGTGTGATGATATTCAATAGTACATGACTCATCTTTATGAATTTTAGCTGCAAGTACATAAACAGCATAAAAGATGGTGGGATTAGATGTGACAAAGTAACATTTCGTTTGATTCTTCTATTTTCTCAATCTTTTCTCAGCTATCTCCTGTACGAGATACAGACACTTCATGGCATCAGCAGCCTCCCCACTCCCTCCCTGTGATTCTCACTCCCTTCACCCACTTTGCCTCTGAGATTGCTCCCAGGTGACATACGACCTTGATGACTGTGTGACTGACCATCGTAGGGAGTGCGTACCTGGAAGCCACCTCCAGGGGTTTCTGTCCTGCTGCGTCCTCCTGGTGAACCCTGTCCCTGATCAGGGTCAGCTGCCCCTTAAGACACCCAGTGCAATCAGCCACTTACACAACCATCTCTCTAAGTCCTTCAGACTTATCAAGATTTGTTACGTGCAAGGACGGTCTGGCTACACCCCGTGACTCCACTGTCACACCTGCGTGGCCTCGTGACCTAACAGGATGAGGGCCGCTTGGTATCCGAGGGCAGACCTCTCCCCAGGGAAGCTCCAGAGGTGGCTGACCCTGGAAACAGGAAGGACACTGCCAGGTCCTCTGTGGCTTCCTTCCTCACAGGAGAGATGCAGTCCAAGGGTTTGGAAAAGATCTGGCATTTTCCACATTCACAATGGCCACTCCATTAGCATAATGATCTTATTTTCCTAATGTATTATAAAAAACAGATGCTAAAAAAAGGCAGATGCTGGGCACTGGTGACTGGGGCAAGAAAAGACGCCCATGAGAGGCTGCTCCACGGTGCACGGAGCATCCTGAGACTGCAGCAGCTGACAGATGCACACCTGATACAGACGCCGAGTAAGGCCTGCGGATTCGTAACCTCATACATGGGTGACACGTCGGAAGCAGGAGTGGCATCCACTTCCTAAATGTCCACAGTTGTAGTGGGCCTTCAGGCCGTTTGTTCATAGGGTCACCATGAGTCATGCTCAACTCGACGGCAATCAAAAACAACAACATGACACGTATGTAAACAGAGCATCAGAGCAGGGCAATTCTGAGAACAGAACCAGAAGCAAGAGGAGGCCGTTCAGTCCTGATATCCGTTTTGGGAAGATAATGTAAAAATATCTATTTAAAAGCTGACAGCAGCATCGTGGGAATGACAGTGACAGTCGTGAATTCAGAGAGACTAGCAGAGCAGTTGGGCTGACCACCGGAGCTTGAAGGCCAGCATTTCACGTCAGTGTGAGGCCAGTCCGCACCCACAGGTGAGGAGACGAGATCTACAGTCACACTGCTCGGGCTTGAACTCCCACGGGCTCACTAGTAACATTGTCGGGGGAATGTTCTTAACGTCTGGGGCTTCAGTTTCCTCAACTGTACAACTGGACAGTAACTGGACTGCGCCTGTGGGCCACAGTGAGGATTACGTGAGAGTATCTGCACAGCCCAGGGCTCCCCACACAGAAGCCCATGACTGCCACTATTGTCACCACACTGCCTTTATTCCAGGAGCACAGAAGTCACTCACCGAGATGCGTGTTCATCACCTTCGCACAGTACTTGCACATGGCGTCCAGGTCATTCAACTGTCCTTGAAGGAAGGAGATTTGGGCTTCTAATTCTTCTTCCTAAGAAAAAGGAGCAGAGATGGAAATAAAAAAAATATATAGTCAAGTAAAATGTGCAAAGTCCTTCAGAGGACATGAATGATTTTAGACGCACAACTCCTTTTAAATCTTGGGCAAAACAAGACAGCAAATAAAAGTAAGCTCATTATTGCTACTACCAACAACAGAGAAAAAGAGTCAAACGGAAGTTTAAACCAACCTAGACTTTTCTTAACAGAGAAGACTTTTGTGGCGGACATTGCTGGGTGCCGTCGGGTCAAGTGCGACTCCGAGTGGTCCTACGGACAAGAGAGCGGAGTCCTGTGCTGCCCCAGCCTCCCCCTCTGTCACGCTTAAGCCTCTCTGTGGCAGTCACCAGGCTCACCCACCTCACTGAGGGTCTTCTCTTCGCTGACCCTCTGCTTTTCCCAGCAAGGTCTCTCTAAGGACTCCTGACAACATGTCCCAAGTAAGTGAGACAAAGTCTCAGCATCCCAGCCTCTAACAAGCACTCTGGCTGCACCTTCCACCAGGACAGACTCGCTGCCCCTGTGACCGTCCATGCGGCCGTCAATACTCTTTGCTGACAATCTCAACGTCTCCATTCTTCTTCGGCCCTTCTTAGTCACTGTCCAACTTTCAGACTCCTGGGACTGTCTTGTAAGATACTCATGCGTGCTTACATATATTATCTTGCATTTAAAACTACCTTAAAATCTTCAAAGATGTTTTCTTTCACACACATTTGGGAAAACAATGTGTTCTATTTGTGGAAGACAAAATATTTTTCTAACAGCTTCTTCAAATGTTAGATTACCCAAAGAACCTGAGAGAGTTTTGTGCCAGCGGTCGGTCAATCTCCTTTTCCTCTAGATGTGACGTTGCTGCTGCTGTGGTCAGCTACTCGTAGTGACCCTGTGGACAAGAGACCTGAACCCCGTCCTGTCCTGTGCTATCCTCATCATCTCTGACACACTTGAGCCCACTGTTGCAGACACCGTGTCAGTTTGTCTCTCTGAGGGTCTTTCTCTCTTAAGCTGACCCTCCTCTGTTCCGAGGACTGGCCCCTGTGGACAAGAGATGTGAGCCCTGTCCTGTCCTGTACCTACCTCCTCATAGTCTCTAACACACCTGAGCCCATCGCTGCAGTCTCTCATCACTCCACCTTACTGTCCTCCTCCTTCTCACGGACCCCCCCACCTTTCCAAACATGTGCCCTACTTGAACATTTTATTTGTTTCTTAAAAAAACCCGAGGTTTTGTGTAAATGGCAAAAGACAATCTAACAAAAGGATGTGTCATTTTTTAAAGGGAAAAGAAGTCACACTGTAACAAAAGGATGTTGCTGTTGCTGCTGCACGACTCACAGCGACTCTATGAACAAAAGCCCTAATGCCTTTCCTTAACTATTGTCATTTCACAGAGCTTCCAAAGGCATGTGGTTTAGGAAGTGGATGCCACTCCTGCTTCCAAACCTGTTTTACAACTGGGAGCTCCACCAAACTCTGTCCACAGTGGGAAACCATTCTGGTATTTAGTATCGCAGTGGCACAATGTTCAGCATCATAGCAAACCCAGGTTACTCAAGTCGAGGAGACAGTACTAGTTTCACTTAGCAATGGTTATGTGTCATCAAGTGGAATATGACTAAGTTTTGCACAGAAGACCTGAACTCTGTTCTTTAACTAATATCATTTCTGTACATGTATAGAGTTTAGAGAGTTTGGAGAGTTTCCAGAGGCATCTAGTTTAGGAAGTGGATGCCACTCCTGCTTCCCAGCATGAATCAATCTGGAAACTCATCCAAACACTGTACACAATGGGTAACCATCATGGTATTTGACACGACTATGGAACAGTGTGCAGCATCACAGCAACTCCAAGTTAGTTGTTCAGTGCAGCAAATAGACAAAAGATTGCTGTATCATTTGAGGAACATTCATTTGAAAATTTAGAAATTTGGCTCTAGGGCTGTGAGGTTTTAAAGCCACACCTTTGTGCAGACCTCTTCCGTAGGCAAAGGCTCAAGGACACCCGTTCTTGGGGGAAAAGAGCAGTAACACACATCAAACATGACCCCCAAAACTTCCCTATGTGCCCAACCACGACTGCTATCAAGATGGTAGGAAGCAGCCCAACTCCCAGATACAGACTTTTTTTGAAAGAATATATTAAGAATATGAATACACAAAAAATATCCCCAAGGAATTTCAGATACTATGAGAGGTTTTCCCTCAGAGAAAGAGAGTAATGCTTGTGACTGAGGCCTTGTGAAAAAACTAAGTTAGCGTGGAGACATGGAGAGGCAGGCCCGCCGCGGGAGGAGGAGGGAGAGCAGACTTTCCTTCTTTGCACGTAAGAGCCACTGACTGAAAATAACAGAAGAAAATGTCTATCGGGGCAACTTGTCTTAGAAAATTTGTACAGCACGACTTGCTGAGGGAGCATCGAGGTGCCAAGGAGAGTTGGAGGGTGTTCCTTTGAACCACATGCTGATGTGGTTCTGGAAAGGAGTGTCCCCCAAGCGTGAGGATGTGTTGGAACCAGCAGCAAGAGCAGGTCAAAGTCCTGTGAAAGCAGCGCTGCAGGACCAGGCGGGCGCTAGCACTGCTCCCACACGCTGTCAGGTCCACACTGGGAGGACCGAGCAGGGCCAGGGTCCCCTTAGCCCACCTCTCCCTCCAGCCACTGGGAAGGGGAACACAGCGGTCTGCACTGGCTGTGTGGGCCCATGTGTGTACTGTGAACTGGAAGGTTAGCGGTTCGAATCCAGCAGCCACTCCATAGGAGAACACCAAGGCTGTCTGTTCCCATTAAGACTGATCAACGGAGGGGACACCATGCATCTACGGGACACCACTGGTGGAGGGGACACCATGGGAGGTGGGGGGAGGGGAACCACAGGGAAGGGGACACCATGGGAGGTGGGGATGCCACAGGTGGAGGGGACATCATGGGTGGAGGGGACACCACGGGGGGGGAGGGGACACCACAGGCAGAGGGGATGCCATGGGGACACCACGGGGGGGAGGGTACACCACAGGGGCAGAGGATATAACGGGTGGATGGGGGAGGAGGGGATGCCATCGGGGGAGGAGATACCATGGGGGGCACCACAGGGCGAGGGGACCTCACTGGGGGGACACCACAGGGGGGAGGAAATGCCATGCGAGGAAGGGCCATCATGGCAGAGAGAGGATGCCACAGGGTGAGGGGACATCATGTGGGAGGGGACACCCTGGGGGGAGGGGACAGCACGGGGGGGGACATCAGGGTGGGAGGGGACAGCA